GTAGATACTTAATAAATATTTATTGATTGATTCAATTGGATGTGATGCTTAATTACTAGTTTGATATTACTACCCCTTTCCCATTATTATCCCTATCTCCATACTACAAACCACAAAAGTGGATTTTATAGGGTTTATTTCCAATGGGAAAAGACAATGTGCAATTCAGGAATGACATAGAAGGCTCTATGCTGTTAGCTAGGAATTAGGGATCAGGTGGAATTCAGAAGTAATAAAAGTGATAGTCTGGGGCCCAGATGCAAAGAAAGGTGTCTGGATCTATTTTGAGGAAGATCTGGATTCTCTAGAGTTTGACCAAGATAAGCAAGACCTGAGACCCAGGGCTGGAGTCTTCATAGTTTCTTTCTAATTTCTTACAAATCTTTGACCATTTCCTATTTGTCTTAAAGGTCCTCTCCATCCTCCACAGAAATAATGGAGAGGGCAAGTGAAGCTCACAATTAGGCATAATTAACAGGAGGAAAGGAATATGTTAAGGAGGTCAACAAGAATGAGAAAAGAGAAAGACCACACACACACACACACACACACACACACACACACACACGTGTATTTCATAGTAGGACTCTTTGCAATAGCAAAAAAAAAAGTGGGGGAAAAAAAAACCACGAGTGCCCTTTGGGGAAAAGCTGAACAGATTGGAGTATATGAATGTAACGGAATATAATAAGATTGTAAGAAATGACAAATATGAAGAATTCTAAGAAACAGGGGAAGACATATAACTGATGCAGATTAAAGTAAGTAGAAACAAGATGATAACATATAATAGCTACAAAAACGTAAATTAAAACAGCACCAAAATGCAGTCAACTTGAGATAAATTGAAATGACCAAGATTGTTCCCAAAGAAAAGAAAAGGAAACATACCCTTTTGGTATCAAGATGGATATAGAATGATAAATATACTGTCAAATGCCATCTCCTTGTCAGGTTTTTTTTGTTTATAATTTTGTTTGATTTAAAGCTGGATGGGGGTATATTAGGCAATGATTATTATGATGCTTATGATTCTTTTAAAAGACATGAATACAAGTTACTAATTGGAGAAAAAAGAAAAGAGGAGCAAACAAATCACTACTCCAAGATTGAGAACCAAGAATTCACAGCGGTAACTAGTGCAAAAGGATAACCAGAAAGTTATGAAATAGAATTTAAAACATCAAGGACAGAGCTGGGGATGAAGAAAAGTCTACTTGGGTTAATGTCAGAAAATGCTAGTGAGTGCGGAGTATACGGCATCAGAGAATGATAGTTTGTCTGGATCCAAACCTCCACCTTTTATGTCCTGGCCACACTTCCACCTCTCTGAGATATGTCAGTGCCACTTTGGGCTGGACACTACATCTATCAAACAGCCACAAAAAGGTGCCTTGGACTTGCAGAATCGTAGCCCAAAGAAATTGTGCTTCTGCCAAGTATAAGCTTTCACAAAAATGGAAAACATAAAACGAAGTATTATTATACTTAGTCACCTAATAGTCTTGTTGTAACTAGAAAGATCTTTAAAGAAAATTGCTCTAGAATGATGAGATCAATCAGCTAGCATTTATTAAACATGAATTAAGTGCCAGACATTGTGCTAAATTTGGGGGATACAGAAAGAGGCGAAAGACAGCCCTCAATGCAGGGAGAGACAACATGCAAACACATATACACAAAGCAAGCTCTATTTAAGGATATATAGGAAATAACAATGAGAGAGCACTAAGATTAAGAGGGTTTAGGGATGGTTTCCAGTAAAATGTGAGATTTCAGTTGAACTTAAAGGAAGCCAAGGAAGTCAGTAGTCAGAATGGAGTAGATGTTACAGGCATGGGAGACAGAGCAAATGCCTGGAGCTTAGTGATGGAGTGTCTTGTTCATAAAATAGCCAGGAGGCCAGGACACATGTCACTAGATTGAAGATTACATAGCAAGAAGTAAGGTGTGACATGAGAGGTAGGAAGGGCCTAGGATAACCTTTATAAAAAGGGCTTCGAATGTCAAATAAAGCATCTTGTATTTGACCCTGGAGGCAAAATAGAGCCATTGGAATTTATTGAGTTGGGGGTGGGGTGTGACATGGCACATGTCTTAGGCAAATGAATGGAGGATGGATTGGAGTAGGGAGACAGTTGAGGCAGGCAGTTCTACCAGCAGACTAGCCCAATAATCTAGTCAAGAGTTGATGAGGGCCTGCACTAGAGCAGGAGCAGTGTCAGAAGAGAGAAAGGGGTATATTCAAGAGATGTTGCAATGATGGCGTTGACAAGCCTTGGATGTGGAGGGTGAGAGATAGTGAGGAGTCCAGGATAACTCCTGGATTGCAAGCCTGAGGGACTAGAAGAATGGTTTTGCCCTGTACAGTAACAGGGAAGATAGGAGGGGAGGGTTTAGGGTTTAGAGTTCTGTTTGGGGCATATTGAGTTTAAGATGTCCACTGGACATCCAGTTTAAGACAACTGAAAGGCAGTTGGAGATGCCAGATTGCAGGTCAGCTGAGAGAGTTGAGTGGGATTTAAGAATCATCAGCATAAAGATGGTAATTCAATCTATGGGAGCTGTTGAGATCACTAAGTGAAGGAGGGAGAAGAGGACCCAGGACAGAACCATGTGGTACACCTATGGTTAGAGGGCATGATCTGGAAGAGGATCCAGCAAAGGAGCCTAAGAAGGAGTGGTTAGATAGTAGGAACAGAACCAAGAGAGAGTGGTGACCTGAAAACCTAGAGAGAAAAGAATATTAAGGAGGAGATTGGGATCAAAGTGTGAAAGACTGCTTGAGAGGTCACAGATAATAAGGACTGAGAAGAGGATTAACAACTAGGAGATCATTAGTAACTTTGGAGAGATCAGTTTCAATGGAATGATAAGGTTGGAAGCTGAACTGCCAGGGGTTAAGTAGAGAGTGAGAGGAGAGAAAGTGGAAGCAACTGTTGTAGATGGAGTTTTTGAGGAGTTTGGCTACAAAGGGCAGAAGAGATTATAGGATGAGAGTTAGCAGAAATGCAAGGATCAAGTGAGGGTTTTTTCAGGCTAGGGGAGACATAAACATGTTTGTTTGTAGATTGTAGGGAATAAGCCAGTAGATGAAGGGAAAGCTCTTTGGCACCTTGAATTCTGGGATCACTTATTTTAGATATTATCCATTGGGCTATGAATGGTTTTTAAATAAATCCATAAAAACAATCAGTCAGCATTTATTAAGCCCCTTCTCTGTGCCAGGCACTGTGCTAAATACTAAGGATACAAAAAGAGGCAAAAGACAGTCCCTGCCCTCAAGGAGCTTATAATCTATTGGGAATAATAATAGCTTCACTAACCTAGTAGGTTATTGTGAGGCTCAAATGAAATAACATATATTAAATTCTTTGTAAAGCTTAAAGCATGAAATAAACCTCAGTTGTTGTTGCCATTATAGTTGTTGAGACATACGGAAAATCTGGCATATGTGACTTTCAGACAACTCAGAGGCCAAATACAGAAAGACCTCAACTTATAGATTTCTACATATAATACTGGTGTTTTGTTTTGAGAGTGGCTTCCTATTTCCTTTTTTTAAAAGTAGGCAGAAAAACTGATTATATAAAGACTAAATTCTAAGATATTGTAGGTTGAATTGATTTTTAAATGAATCCCAGAGATTCCCACAGCACACTCTAATCTGAGTCCTACAATATATCATAATTGTGTGCTACTGAGGTAATTGCATGTTCTCACACACACAGATGAGAAGAAGCAATAAAACTGAAAAGGAGAGCATTTTCATCAGTTTAAATCTCTTTATGAACCTTGCTCATCAAAGCCAATGTTGATCTAAATAGGAATTCTTTCATTTAATCCATTTACCTGCCCAGTTTCTTCTTCCAGTTTTTCATAAAGCTTAATGCTGTAATAATGTATTTTCTTCAAGTTTATTCCAGGATGAAAATAAGTCGTTAAACCTGCCTTGGCAAAGCAAAATAAATAAATAAATAAAACAGCACCTTAAGAATTTTTATAGTTACTCATTGAGAATTAAACAGCTAATACTACAGTTATCAGTCCCCAGGATTGAATGAGGGGCTCAGCTTGAATGGTACTTCCACCATAAAACTTTCCCTATTCTCTCAGTCCAACATGTATCTTTCTGTTTTCTGAACTTCTATAGAGCTTTTTGGACTTCTCATGCACTAGTGAGTCTCTTTTTTATTAGAATTATTTCTATTTGACAACTAGGTTGTGTTGTGGCTAGAGCACTGAACTTAGAGTCACAAAGATCTGAATTCAAACAGGCTTAAACACTTATTACCTTTGCGACCCTATCTGCCTCAGTTTCCTGAACTGTAAAATGGGGATAATAAAAACACCTATACCCCAGGGTTGTTGTGAAATTAAAATGAGATTGTATGTATAAAGCACTTTGCAAAGCTCAGAAAGCTATATAATGATTTTAGAAGTGGTGTTAAGAAACAACATGGAAGAAATATGTGATCATGTGTATAGCATGACTAGCCCTAACATTCCACTGATACCCACAAAATATAAAAGAAAAAAATCCTTCAAGGTCCTTGTTTCTCTGGGTAAATACTCTGAAGATCTGTGCAGTGACATCAAAAATTAAATAGAATTAAGGAGTCGTGGGTGAGTTTTGAGCTGCTCCCAATGGAATCTCCACATGTCAGTGAGACCCCAGGTCAAATGAATTATTGAAGTAAATATGTAAATTATTTCTTCTACTAGATTGGAAGCTCCTTGAGGGCAAGGGATTAATCACTGAATTTCAGGCTGTGCCTCGCAAACAGTGTCCCAAAAGTCTTAGAACAGTTTTAAGCTTTAATAGCATAAAAAATGACCTAAGACTTTTGGGACATTCTCTACATCTATCAGCGAATAAATGAATGAAAGTACCAGGTTTAGTCCTTCAGAATAGGATGTTGCGACGATGTGACAAATTTATGAGCTTCCTTGACATCAATTCAAATGAGCAAACAAAAAAATAAGATCAAAAAGCATTTATTAAAGCACCATGTGCAAGGCACCATTGAATTGTTCTCTGCCCCCAACACGATCAAAAATAAATATAATACAAAGTAGGGGGTTGTGGAGATAAAGAAAAGATACAAAGTAGTCTAGCAAATTATGAGGCCAGAGTGAACATTTTCAGCAAGAGATATCCCAGGAACAAAGTAATCATTATGAATCCAACAATGAATACTTCTTCCAAATACAATTATTTGCAGTAATTGTAGGTGTGGAGATTGTATTGAAGTGGACCAGACTTGTGATTTCACTGATATAGGGAACTCCCAGTGATGAGCTCTATAGGGGGAGTGAAGAGGAGTTGGTAAGGAAGTAAGGGGTTTGATAGAAAAAGCAATGAACTGGTCAGCACAACCTGGGTAAGAGTTTCAGCTCTGCCACTTAACTTACTGTGTGAATATAGTCCCTTCATCTCAGATTCCTTTTCTGGGGACCAGAATTTAAACATTTCCTACATACCTCAAAGGATTGCTGTGATGGAAATGCTATAAACATTAGAACTATTCTTCTTTTGGGGAAGTAACTAAGTAAACAATGGCCTTGAAGGCTGCCAAAGAGTTTAGAGGATCCTCCTATTCCGTTTAATAAAAAGTCTACAGACAGCAAAAGATTCTCCTGCTTACCCTTAGTCAAATTTAATGATTTATCCACAGTCTCACAGTAAGAAGTGACAGAGCTGGGATTTAAACCCAGGTTATCTGATTCCAAAATGAAAAAATTCTCTTCCCTTCAGTTTATATACAATCATTCTTGTGCATTTACTATAGACTCTGTAGGGCTTCCTAACCTGGGGTTTGTGGACCTTTTTTAAAATATTGTAATAATTTTATTTTATAAAATTGGTTTCCTTTGTAATCCCATGCATTTTATCTTATGAATTTAAAAACAGCATTCTGAAAGGGGTCCATAGGTTTTATCAGACTGTCCCATGATAGGGAAAAGGTCAAGAACCCCTGGTATGGAAATAGAGTGGTATAGTTGGCCTTTGATTCAGGAAAGATGTGGGTTCAAATTTTGCCTCACACATATTGGCTATGTGATCCTGGGCAAAACCCAAATTTTAGTGGCCCCAAACATCTCACTAAGATTGTAAATTTCAGAGGAGGCACCCACCTACATTGATAGTGGGAGGTATTGTTTTTTTTTTTTTAAATCTGGGAGTTCCCTAACAAGGGAAAAGGGGAGAAATCATAGGTAATGAGTTTATGGTAGAAAGTGGAGTGCAGGAATGATGTCTTAATTACATGTACATCTCCATCTTATCTCCGTTCCCTAGCACAATGCCCTGAATATAGGAGAGGCTCATTAAATGATTGTTGAATGAATGAATAGGTTAATCTCAGTTTTCTTACTGCATGCCATGTAGATCCAGCAGTGAGTTCCGATGCTTCCAAAAGCACCACGTCCTTCATTCCAGCTTTGGCCAGATGGTAAGCTAGGCTCACACCAATACAGCCACCTCCAATGATTACTGTCTCTGCTGTGTCTTTCCATCTTGTTTCTGAAAAGGAAGATGCCTTCCCTTCTCTGAAAAACAATTTAAAAGTCACTTATCTTCCATACTCCTTCATATAGATCCAAATCATTTCTCATGTGTAAATGCTTCTCTGAAATCCAAGCAGGCAGGCACTATATGGAGTTACAGTACATCTAGCTCTTGGAGAATTGGGGTAAGTAGCAATAGTTTATTTATTAAAACCATCAAGAATTGAGTACTTTTTAAAACAGAGGTAACTAGGTGGCACAGTAGATAGAACTCAAGTCTTCCTAACTCCAGTTCCAGTACTCTGTGGTGCAGTGGATTCAGTGCTGGGACTGGAGTCAGGAAGAGTCCTCTTCATAAGTTCAAATCCAGCCTCAGACACTTATTAGCTGTGTGACTCTGGGCAAGTCACTTAACCCTGTTTGCCTCAGTTCCTTATCTATAAAATGAACTGAAGAAGGAAATGACAAACCATGCCAAGAAAATAGCAACCATGCCAAGAAAATTCCAAATGGGCTCATGAAGAGTCAGACACAACTGAAATGACTCAACAGTAACAACAAAAAACCACTGAGACCACCCATCACTATTACTTATTCATATACATTTTGCTGACCTCACATACTCAGTTATTTCCAATACTGTATTTATGGTCTCAAGACTTTCTCTACTAAATGCCCTGCTCTTACAAAAAAGAAAAAATAAGGCCAGAAACCCAAATTATTTGGCTTATGGTGGATTTATTTATTTACTAGATAAGTGTTTTTGAAACTTTTTTTCTGTGCCCTGAGCTTCAGGTGCTATGAGTTAACTCTCAAAAGTTCTTTCTTCTTTTTTGTGTTAGGTATTACCTGTTCTCCATGTCAAACAGCTAATGAGGGTTGATTTGTCTTTGACTTCTTGCTTTCACAGTCTCTCAAAGCTTATCTTTTATACTCTTCCACTCTTAGATCCTTTCCCTTCAGTTTAGTTCATCTATTATGGATTCCTTGCTATCTTGTTCTATCTTAGTCATCAAGTCCCTTCTTCCTGGCAATAGCTTCTACTCCAGAGGACCCTATCATATACAACATGAGTCATAAGGTTTCCTGCTTTGCACAATATTGAAAACAAATACGAACTTGAAAAGATCATCAAACATTTACTTTCCCCAAATTTCAAGTAATTTGAATTATCTCTCTTATTTTGAATGAGAAGAGCCTAATAGTTAAATTCTGTTCTGTTTCTAAATATTTTTAATTTAATTTTTATTTTTTCTCAATTACATGCAAACAATTTTAAACTTTTTTAAATATTGAGTTCCATATTTTCTCCCTCCCCTTACCTCGAGAAGGCAAGTGATTTGATATAGACTGTATGTGCAGTCATGCAAAAATTTCCATATTAGCCATGTTGCAAAGGGAAATGTAATCTGTCCCTAAATTTTAAAAAAGATTATCAACTTAGAACTGGAAGAGATTTTTTTAGGTAATTTAATCCCATCCCAATATTTATAGATGGGGAAACTGAGGCCCAGATATATTAAATAACTTGTCAAAGGTCACACAGGCAAGAAGTGGTAAACTTGGGATTCTTCTTCTTCTTCTTCTCCTTCCTTCTCTTTCTCCTCTTTCTACTCCTCCTGCTCCCTGTGATTTAATTCGTATAAACAACTCACACTGTAGAAACTCCATCTACCAAGATCAGTCAGTAGTACATATGCTACAATTTATAGAGTTGACTGAAGCACTGAGAAGTTAAAAGTAAAAATAAAAAAGCCACTCCTACCTTAAAGAGTAATGTAAAATGGTCACAAGCCCAACAAGAAATCTTGGAAGAACTTAAAAAGGAATTTAAAAATCAAATAAAAGAGAATGAGGAAAAATCAGGAAACAATAAAAGCAATTCAAGAAAATTACAAAAAGTTAGTTAACCAATTAGAAACTCTAGACAGCAAAAAACACCTACCAAAACAAATCCAGGAACTACACAAACAAAATTACTTTTAAAAAATTTTACACAAATAAAATCAGATTCAAATAACTGGAAAGATATTAATTGTCCATGGGTACACAGGGCCAATATAATAAAAATGACAATTTTACCCAAACTAACTTATATATTCAATGTCATCCCAATCAAATTACCAAAAACTTAATTTGCTAAATTAGAAAAAATGACAAAATTCATTAGGAAAAACAAAAAGTCAAGAATATCAAAGGAAATTATGAAAAAAAGTATAAAGGAAGAAGGCTTAGCAGTAGCAGATCTTAAACTGTGTTATAAGGCAGTAATTATCAAAACTAATTGGTACTGGCTAAGAAACAGAAAGGTAGATCAATGGAGTAGAGTAGACATACAATTTACAGCAGCAAATAAACATAAACTTGTACTTGACAAGTGTAAAGACTTAAGATTTTGGGATAAGAATTCATTATTTGGTAAAATTTGTTGGGAAAACTGGAAAACAGTATGGCAGAAATTGGACATGGACAAATATCTCACACCATTTAACAAGATAAGGTCAAAGTGGATACATGACCTAGATATAAGGAGAGACTTTACAGGGCATATTACTTATCAGACTTGTGGATAGGTAAACAATTTATGAATAAATAAGAGATAAAGAACATAATTAGGTATAAAATGGATAATTTTTATTACATTAAATTTTAAAAGGGTTGTACAAATAAAACAAATGTAGCCAAGATTAGAAGGAAAGCAGAAAATTGGGGGAAATTTTTTTAATTATCAAATAAAGGTCTTATGTCTAAAATATATAAAGAACTTTGTCAAATCTATAAGAATACAAGTCATTCCCCAGTTGATAAATGGTCAAAGGATATGATCAGCCAGTTTTCCAATGAAGAAATCAAAACAATTTAATCATATAAAAATGTTCTAAATCATTATTGATTAGAGAAATGCAGATTAAAACAATTTTGAGATATCATTTTACACCTACCAGATTGGTTAAAATGACAGAAGGGAAAAGTGACAAATGTTGAAAAGGATGTGGAAAAATTGGTATACTAATTCACTGTTGGAGGAATTGTGAAATGATCCAACCATTTTGGAGAGCAATTTGGAATTATGCCCAAAGAGTTATTAAACCACCTATACCTTTTGACCCAGCAATACCGCTACTTGGTCTATTTGCAGATGATTAGAGAAAAAAGGAAAAGCATTTATATGTCCTAGAATGTTTATAGCAGCTCTCTTTGTGGTGTGGAAATTGTAGGGATGCCCACCAGTTGGGGAATGGGTAAACAAGTTGTGGTATGTGATTGTGATGGAATACTACTATGCTGTAAGAAATGATGAGCTCAATGATTTTAGAAAAACATGGAAAGACTGGCACAAAATAATGAAGAGTGAAATGAGAAGAACCAAGAGAACATTGTATACAGTAACAGCAATATTGTTTTAAGAATGAGTTCAAGTGAAAAAGTTATTTTGTCTATTATAAATACCCAAATTAACTATAAAGGATATATGAAAGAAGACGTTATCTGCATCCAGAGAAAGAACTGAAAAAGAGATGCATAGAATAAATTGATGTGTGTGTGTTTGTAGATCTATTGTGTCTAGTAGCAGCCATCTCTGGGGGAAAGAAGGGAGAGAAGAATTAAATTTAAAAATTACTTGATAATTTTTATATATTTAAAAGGAATAGCAAGTTGGACATAGTATATTTGCAGTTTCAAGTACAATCATCTTTTTTATTCTACTATGTTATGGAAATGCTTGTTTTATTCCATAAATTAAAAATAAAATGAAAAAAAAAAGATTTCTTCAAGGTCACACAACTAGCATGTGTCAAAGGTAGGACTAGAACTCCAAGGGACTTTCTTACTCTGAGAAGTCTACCTAACTACAATATCACACTGTCTCTCTTCTATACCACAGTACTCAATATAAAGATCCATTTTTCTTTATTCTTTTAACTGTTCTTTAAACTATAACTTTTTATCATCTCCTTTTGTACTTTGAACCAAAACAACATGTTCCATGTTTTTGTGGATTGGCTATTTTCCATAGCAAATAAAATTTTAAATCCCAGACACGTGTATTTCTCAGTGGGGATACAGAAGTATAAAATATCAGAACTGAAATTTGATCTTAGAAATTATCTTGTTCAACTTCCTCATTTTACAAATAAAAAAGTGAGACACAGAGAGCAAACAACTGACCTAAGTCCCTGGACTAGTAGGTAAAAAAGCTTAGACTAGAACCTTGGTCTCTTAACCCTGACAGATACGTGGTACAGTGGATAGAGCACTCAGCCTGGAGTCAGGAAGAGCTGAGTTCAAATGTGGTCTTATATACTTACTAACTGTGTGACCGCAGGCAAGTCACTTGTACCTCTGCCTCAGGTTCCCCAATTGTAAAACGGGGATAATAATAACATCTACTTTGTGGAGTTGTAGTAAATATCAAATAAGTAAAGCACTTAGCACAGTGCCTATCACATTGTAGGTATTTAACAAATGCTTTTTTCCTTTTTTAATCCCAGTCTAGTGCTTTGTTAAAACATTCCATTGGAGATTTGTAAAGTTGTCTGCCCATTACACCAAAATATGATTTATTTCCTTTCTAGAATTTCATAAGAATTTTGGTTAAAGAGAGAGAGAGAGTACTTAAATATTTTGATAGCCAGTTAAGGGAAGTATGAATGTAGAAATACAAGCATAGCCTTTTCTATTCAAACAGGATCAAAAGTTATCTATTTGTTTATTACAAAAGCATCAGATTTAGAACTATAAGAGACCCAAGAAAACAACTAGTCCAATCCCCTTATTTTGTAAATAGGGAAACTAAGACCCACAGAAACCAAGTGACTCTATGCACAAGTACAACAAACAAGAGGCTGAAATTGTCTTCTCCTCCAACTCTACTCCTCTCACTGGAGCCACACCATATTTCTCTTCTTCCATCTATGTTACATTGGGTGACTCTTTTTTTGTTACTTTAATCTAACAACCCTCCCAAATAAACATCATTTGTCATCTGAAAAGGCAGCTTTGTTTACACAGCACAAAGTAAAACAGAGACTTTATGATTATCTGGCTAATGTAATAAAGCAGTTACCAAAATGGGATTTGTGAGCATAAATTTTCTTATTTAACTGTCAGCAAATAATCCTTTTAACAGCTGATCAAGTCATCTCTGCCAAAACTTTATTTCACTCTTGGTAGCGAACAGAGTCAACAATTCAACAACTGTTGATTGGCTGCATACAAGTACCAGGTGAGAAGCATTGTAGGGTAAGGGGGAGAGAGAAACGTCCTGGGAATCAGGAAGATTCCCGCCTCTGAAGCTTACTGGCTGTCTGACTCTGGGCAAGCCAGGTAACCTCTCAGTGTCTTGGGCAATTTGCTAAGACTAAGTTGCAAAGAAGATGCCCCGCTGGGTTAACAGCTGGTGCTGCTCACTGGAAGCTGCCTATACAGGTCGGGGAGGGAACGCCAAGCACCGGTCGCTGGAATATAAAGAAGAAAAAAACATGCCATCCTTTCCCTGAAGGCGTTTGCGCTATTTATTATTCAGATTAGGGAAATCAAATTAAATTAAACCGTAATATGAGCTAAGTGGCACTTCCTAAAGTGAAGGCTCTTGACCGGTAAGAATGGCAATATTAAAAAGCAAAGACGCTCTGCTACCAGCCTTAAATCCTATAGTGGTACTCAGAAACGATAAATTGCAAAGGAGCTGGACAGCTTCACCTCTCCCTCTCAGGTTCAGCCTCTTAGAAACACAGACTGAACTTCCAGCTCTTTTTTCTCCAACACTTCCACCCTCACCTCTTCTCTCCCGCTCCAGCCCAGTCCCAAGCAGGCCCTGGACTCCGATTTCTAGCACTCACCCTTCCTGGAAGGGGAGCCCGCTGCTGCTGCGGCACACTGACCGCAGCCAGCTGCCCCGGGTCAAGGTGGACTCTACTGTTCGCAGCTGAAACCTCAGCTGCTTCAGGCCACCCAGAAGCATAGCTTGGGTATAGGAGGACAGGCAGACTTCAGGAGACGTGCAGCCCCTTAACAATTCCCAGGTGATTCCTCAAGCAATGATCCTGGACGTTTCTGAGTAATCAGGCCCCCTGGCTCGAGTAATGGCTCCCTAGGGGCAGCATGCAGTTCGGCCCAGGACTGGTGTTGAACAACTCCCGGGGGTGGCCTAGGACCCACCCCTATCCCGATGTGGGCGGGAGAAAGAGGAGGGCCAGGCTCACCCCACGGCTTCCAGCTACTTCTCAGGTGCAAGACAGCCACTTTGCCCTCTCAGTCTCTGGGCCAAGCGTTGTCCCAACAGTGGAGAGATGGCACGGGTCGGGGGGAAAGGGTAAAGAAGGTGAGGAGCCAATTTAATTGTCCTTTTTGTCTGTCCGTCAGTCCAGCTGTCTGTCTATCTCTGCCTTGTCTTTCTGTTGCCCTGTGCGTCTTGTTGTTGGGGTTTTGCGGGGGGCGGGGAGGGAGAAGAGGGGAGAGGTTTCCTGTCTGTCTCTTTGTCTCTTGTCTTTCTGAATTTCTCTCTCTGTGTGTTTCTCTCCGCCCACCATCACCACCCATCATCACTGCAGCCACCGTCCTCGCTCAGTCCAGATTTGCAAAGCTGTCTTGATGGGCCCACGCCTGCCTTCTCCCACTTCACATCCCCCCCCCCACCCCTCTCCAGTCTCTCTGGTTTTACCGTCCACAGATTTTCGTATGTCCCCCTAACACACACCTGAGCTCCCTGCCCCATCCCCCCACCCCCACCGGAACATCCTTTCCAAATGTTTGGAGGGGGCTTCAACTAAGTTGCAAAAACTTGGTTGAAAGTGATACAAAGAGATGCTCGTATCCGTAAAGGTTCAACTCTCTTCTCTCGGTCAGTACAGGAATTTGGGAAGGATGGGGTCGGGAATGGATTTTATGGCAGAGACAAGATGAACTTAGAAAATGAGCTGTCTGGGGCAGCTAGGTGGCGCAATGGAGTCAGGAAGCTCTGAGCTGAAACGCGACTTCAGACACCAGCTGTGTGACCCTGGGCAAGTCACTTAACCCCGATTGCCTTCAAAAGCACAAGCAAAAGAAGGGGGGGGGGCTGTCTTTTACAACAGGCTACAGAAGCTGGAGGTAGCCTAATCAGCCCAGGGATTCCTACACCTTCCCTCCTGTCTCAGGGTTTTCAAGGATTTAACAGTTCAGAGAGCTTAATGTGCATTCATTCAAAACTGATCTAGGAACAGTAAATATGGCAGAAGAGGGAGGGGACGCCCCCTGAAGTAAAATATTGATTATTTAATTACTGTTGTATGACTGTTATTTAGATATTCAGCCACAAATTTAGCATAGAAAATAAATCCCAAATCTTGACAATATATAATTGTTCATCTACATGTTTAATATCCTAGACGGTAGAGAGCATGTGGTGACTAGAATTCAGGGGTTGAAACAGCACATATTTGATAGAGTATTGGATTTAGAGTCAACAGGAAGCAGGTTCAAGTCCTATCACATAAATGGAAGCTGTGTAACCTTGGGGAAATCTAAACCTTTTGGCTTCAGTTCCTCATCTACAAAATAGGGGAGAAGAAGAGATTGGATAGATGGCCTCTAAGGGCCCTTTCAGCTCTAAATCTGTGACCTTATGACTAGAATTACAATGATCTGGATCCAGCACCTACTGGCTGTGTGCCTCTGGGCAGATCATTTAACCTCTGTATGCCACAGACAACTCTCTAGGATTTACCTACTAAATCATAAACTGGAAGTTTCCTACGAACCTAATGAAATTGTAGATCTTTCAGATAATTTCATGTTATAGAGACCCAACCAAAGCAGGTGTTTTTATTCTTTGGGGGACTCTAGTTGATTTCATGTTTAAGATCAGAAATAGGCTTTGAAGTGCTTTGAGGGTTTTTTTTCTCCCCAAGTTGGAATCAACAGTGTGCAAATATAGCGAAAATTTCAGTATGTAATCTTGTTCAGTGTTGACATGAAAGACTTCTTGGTACACTAACTATGAGCTCTAACTTCCTGGGCTATAGTCTTTGGGTGCATGAAGCTAAATTCTGGTTTTATGTTGTTAGAACTGAAGCAGAAAAGAAGGCCAGTCTCTGGAGTTCATTGCACAGGGAGACAGAGCTCAGCTACGCATTCTTCTAAGCACTTAAGAACCTCACTGGAAAACAAAACCAACCCAGCACCTTAACATCAGCACCAAGAGTTATATAGGAAGTCCGAGACTTGTGTGAGCATTACCATCCCACTGGGGCTTGTCAAGGCTACAGAAGTTAGTGCAACCAAAGCTATTAGAACCAGAGAACGAAGTAAAAATGAAAAAGAATCCACTAATTACCAACTGAGAGAAATCCTAAGCTGAAAACACTAAGGAATTTTATAGCCAAACTATAGAGCTAAAAAGAAAAAAAATACTACAAACAGTCATAAAGAAGTAGTTCAGGTACCAAAGCACCATAGTCAAGATAACACAAGAATTAGAAGCATTTACTATAAAGTTGAGAAAATATTGGAATATGATATTCCAAATGGCAATAAATAAAAAGTTACAAGCAAGAATAACCCACCCTGCAAAACTGAGTATAATCTTAGAAGGGCTAAATGGATATTTAGTCGAATATAGAGGACTTTTCATCTTTCCTAATGAAAAGACCAGAGTTGAGTAAAAACTTTGAAATGCAAACACAATAATTACGGAAAACTTACAAAGGTGAATATATTTGAGCAATTGAAAGAGGATAAATGATGATGAAGCAGTTTATTCAAATAGATAAGAAGCAGGTATTCCTTTCAAATTTTTATTTATTTTAAGAATGGAAGGGGGCATTAAATAAAGCAAATCCAGGACCTGGATATGAGTTTGTTCTGTTTTGTTGGTTGTAAGAAAGTAAAGAAAATGGAGACAAAAGGGAATATACTAGGATACACACGGAGAAGAAAGGGGAGGAACTCACTGTTTTACACAAATGGAGTGTTTGGGAAGATGAATATACACACGGAGGAAAAGGTGAGGGGAGTGAGCATCTCATGACCTAACTCCTATCCTAAAGAGAGAAATGAGGTTAGAAAAGACACACGCCCCCTGTACTTTATTAGAGTTTTTGGAGTGGCAAAGTAAACATGTGGATAAGAAATCAGTCTTAGAATTAGGAAGACCTAGATTCAAGTCCCATCTCTGAAACAAGTTGGCTGTGTGGACCTGGATAATTCACTTAACCTCTCAGTGGCCCAGGCAATTCTGTGATTCTACACGCAAATGAGGTACCAATTGATCTTTGAGAGTTCCTGAGCCCAGTGAAATCATAGATCCAATCCAAAAAGTTATAGTTATTACATGAACTGGATATATGTCCACTAGCTATTTAAAGCAGGAAGACAAGTAACAGTCTCTGTGATGATATCACGATTATTTCAAGCTAGACATATGCTTAAAAAGCTATTGAACCTGTCAGAAAAAGTGACTTGGCATCAGCTATATCAAAACTCAAGCCATACAGTGGGATAAGTTAGACTTTGCATGAGAAAGCTGAGTCCCAAACTGCCTGACGCTTTCTGTGTGGCCATTGGAAGTTACTCAACTATCCTGAACCCATTTCCTCATCTGTAAAATGGGTATAGCACCTACTCCTTAAGGGTTATTATGAAATTTAACTATAAATCATTTTGCAAACCTTAAAGTGCTATGTAAATGTCAGCTATTAAATTTGGAGAGATTCATTACTGGGTTGGCTGTAAGGTGAAAAAATGTTTCATAGCCTGCCCTGCTGAACAGACATGTTTCTAAATTAAGAGGGGGGCCACATTTACCCAAACCAACTACTGTATCCTTGTTGTGTGCTCTCTAAGTAAACCTCCTTTTGTTTCAGAATTTCCTACAAATATTTTATTTCACTCAATATGGAACCTAAATTACCAGGGACTAGTCTGAGCCAGACCTGGCCTATTACACCTTGCAGTCTAATTTCTAACCTCCACCCCTCACTTGAAACCGCGCTCCCCAAGTTTACCAATCATCTTGTAATTGCTAATCCAATGTTTCATTCTCAGTCCTCAATCTTCTTCATTCTCTGCAGTATTTGCCACTGCTGGTCTCCAGTTTGCCCTAAATCTTCATTCTTCCTTGAAGCTTTGTGACAGTATTTTCTCCTAGTTCTCCCTCTATCTATCTGGCTACTCCTCCTCAGTCTGTGTCATAAAACCATTATCCATGTCCTGTTCCCTAAAAAGAAGGGTTCCTCAGGTCTTTAAAAAAAAAACAAGAACCTTTCTTTCTAGGGCATTCTAGAACGTCTGAATAGTGGAGAGGTTGTGATTGGTGATGGAAGTTTCGTCTTTACCCTTGAGAAAAGGGGGTATGTGAAAGCTGGACTCTGGACCCCAGAAGCAGCTGTAGAGTACCCAGAAGCAGGTAAAGTAAAGCACCGTCACATTTTTAAAATGTTCTCTTCTTCGTGACACTTTGTTCGGCCCTGCTCTAAACAATGAAGATGGTTCATGTTTAATAATTAATTCCATGGAACCTGTCATGGTATAGAAAATACATGTTATATAAATATAATAATTGTTATGTTATAATTATGTTTATATATTATAAGCATCTGGTATATAAATAGATAAAATATATTGATATATAAAACATAAAATAAAAATATAAAAATGAAGATGATGTGTATTAATCCCATTCACTTTTTTTTTTCAAGGCAATGGGGTGAAGTAACTTGCCCAGGGTCACACAGCTAGTAAGTGTCAAGTGTCTGAGGCCAGAATTGAACTCAAGTCATCTTCCTGAATCCAGGGCCAGTGTTCTATACACTGCATCATCTAGCTGCCCCAATCCCATTCACTTCTAATCAAGAAACATTTATGAAATGCCTATATGAAGGATACTGAGAATACAAAGAAGAGATCAGAAGGGAGCAACATGGGGAAAACTAGAAAGAGAGCTGAAATTGGAGCCCTGAACTTCAAGTCAGAGGACCAGAGTTCAATGCCCAGATCAGCCACTGACCA